CTGGAGCTCACCTTAAACAGAGATCAGGGGAGGAAAATGTAAAGAGGAGTATTTCAGGGTCAGTGGGTGGCAGAGCTGCTTCAGGAGATCCAAGACGCTCTTAAAGCCAGAAGTAGGAGAGGAATTGGGGGAGGGAGGCAGGAGGGCGGGACTGGGTAGAGAGGGGGGAGGGGCTGGTATCAGGCTATACAGTGATTAAAAGAAAAGAAAAGAAACAATGCTTCCCATGAGGCCTCTGTGTAGAGTGCCCTGCTCTCTGTGGACACAACCTGTCTCCTCTGGGTTCTACGCAGCCTCCAAGCCCCTGCTGGGGTCTACACAGCAACCAGCACTCTCCATAAGGGAAAATGATCTTCCCCCAGGAAGACAGTGAAGCACGTGCAGAAACGCAGCGTGGCCTCACTTCACTTCATGATCCTTGTATTCCTGTGCAAGCTCACCTCCTGATTTCCAGCCCACCCTGAGTGATCAGGGTAAAAGCAAGGCTCATGCCAATAAGGATGACCAGGACACGTGGCAGATGTCACCCCCCATAGCTTTGCCCAGAGCCCCGATCCATCCAAAGCTGGTCCAGCCGAGGGAGGTGTGCTAGCGCTGTAGACCTAGGCTCAGATGTAGCCTCATCTTACTACATGACTGGGCAGAACCTAGCAGATGGTAGCCATGAGGCAAGACCCAGGACACTGGTGGGAGCAGCCACGAGGCCAAACACAGCAGACGGAGGGCAGGGCGCATCTGGCCTGGCCTTCAGAGGGCTGCAGGAGGAGGTGTTGCTGATGGAAGCTGTCCACACAGGTCAGAAGGTGTACACCTGCAGTTTTTTACCTGTGTCCTACACACGGGAGCACAGTGCAGAGACTCGGGATGGAGTCCACGGCCAGACCACTGTCCCGCTGCAGCCACTGGTCGCCTGAGAAACTTACAACAGCACCAGCTGGAGGGACAGATGCCCAGAGCCAGCTCTACACAACACGGAAGGCAAAGTCCACCTCCACGGAGGCAGCCTACTGGGGCAGCCTGCAGGGCTGTGAGGGCCAAGCCTGCCAAGTTATGTGGACAGGTGGCCTCTGGTCCCAGCTGGCCCTCATGGGAAGATGAGCATGCCAGCTCTGCAAGGTCTCTAAACCATAGGCATGGCTCAGGTGCCCATTCCAGTTAAGTGCCCAAAGCCATCAGAGAGGTACAAGTACTCCCACGAACACAGGTGTGAGTGACGTGTGCCCAAATAAACGGCACACACACACTTAAAGATATCAGTGAACTAAGAAGGGCTTGTTGAGACACAGTATTCTGTCCCGGAACTCCATCTATAGAACAGGCTGACCTCAGAGATCTACTTGCCTCTGCCTCCCAAGTGCTGGGATCAAAGGCCTGGGTCACCTCCACTGCAGCCACCACTGCCACTGCTGCCACCACCACCCCAGCAAGAAGGTTGTTTTGTTTTGTTTTGTTTTGTTGTTGTTGTTTAAGGGACGCTGGTCTGCACAAACTGAAAGTTAGAGTCCTGGAGCAGCGGCTGCTGCACAGAACCACGGTTAGTAACTGTTTGGTTGGCTTTTTAATTTTCTGTTTGCTTGTCTGAAACAAGGTACAACCCAGCCCAAGTCCAGGCTGCTCTCAAGCTTGGCATGTGACAGAGGGGGAGCTTGATTCCTGGCTCTCCTGCCCCCGTATCCTGAGTGCTGTGGTTACAGGTGCAGTCATCACGCCTGGCTTATTCTGGTTGAGGATCAAGCCCCGGGCTTTAACCGTGCTTTGTAAGCATTCGTCAAACACAGCCTGTTTTTATGCTCTTAGGAGGTTTTCATGAGTTCTGGAAGATTAATTACAAACCACTCTGGGTTTGTGGATCCTCCCAGAAGACTGAAATTCTAGATGGAGTAAGAAATATAACTTTATTTATTATATTTGGTTCTGGTTCAATTTTTCCAAGCATATGCTAGTTCTATAATTAAAATTTAAGTGTTGAGAACAAAGTTAACTCGCTTACACATCAGGCTCCTACCTTTTGTGTCTGCATGGCGACAGTTGACCTACCCACCCAGCACCGATAAGACTTATCTCCTTTCAAGGAAAGTGCTTCCCTTTGCAGGATGTCTGCCATTACTAGACAGCCTGGCAGGGCGATGTCTGCGCCCTTTGCTCTACCCTCACGCAACCCCTCCGGAATACAAAGATATCCCCGCCTAACACAGCGAGAAGAGGGGGGAGGGGTGTCTGTCAGCCTTCACTAATCTTCTCTTCTGGAGGGAACCCTCCAGTATTCACCCAGCCTCACTTCCTGCAACCTCAGGCTTGTGTCTGACACCTTTGTCACCAGGGCAACACACTTGGCCTGCAGCACATAAATGACCTGAGTGAGGATTGTCCCCTATTGCACTGAGTGACACAAGGAAGGGCCCCTCTGGAAAGCTCTGCTCCTCAGAAGATTTCTGCCCCCTTTCCAACCTGGCTGGAAACAACCTGAGCTTGACACTTAGGCCTTGCTGGCTGCTATCCCTCTACCTGGCATAGACCCAGAGGGGCGCTGCTCAGGATAGGCTACACTTCCTGGAGCCCTCTGTGTCTCTGGGTGACCACACACACACCAGCTCCTATCCCCACTCCTCCCAACTGCTGGCAGCAAATCCCTTTCAGCTAGTTACTTTGTGCTGCTAGGTAAGGTCTCTGTCACAGCCTGGAGGGTTCCCCAGAGGCCCTGGATTTCACCGTACATCCTCCCTCCCCAAGGTGCTCTAAATGCTGGGCCTTCCAGCACCCCACATGGGGCTGTGTCCCTGGAGCATGCACCTTTTCAGATGCCTACTAGCTGTTTGCATGGCTGCGTTTATTGTTTGTTTGTTTGTTTGTTTGTTTGTTTGGGGTGTTCCATACCATAGCATGTATGCAGCGGTCGAAGGACAATATGCAGTTGTTGATTCCTTCCTTCCTTCCACCATGTAGTTTCCTGTGGTCACACTCAGTTGTCAGGCTTGTCAGGAACTGCTTTGATTCACTGAACCATCTCGCCAGCCCTTGGACATCTTCCAAAAGATGTCAGTTGGGGGTTGGGGAGACAGCTCAGTGGCTTAGAGCACCGGCTTCTCTTCCAGGGGACCCAGGTTCAATTCCCAGCACCCACATGGCAGCTCACAACTGTCTGTAACTGTAGTCCCAGGAGCTCTGTCACTTTCACACAGACACACACAGCCAAAACACCAATGCACATACATTAAAAATAAATAAATTATATTTTTTTTAAAAAAAAGAGGTGCCAGTTGTAGGAAGCAGATGTGCTGCTATAAATTTCAAGATTAGCGATGGGTAGTGGGGACAGACTGAGACACAGGGCCATCTGAGAGCTGTTCCCATCCTGCCTCCTCTTACTGAGAGTCAAGGGTTAATGCATTGTGGACAAGGCGCTGATCCCCAGAGACTGTCCTTGGATCAACTTGGGGATCACACCCAGCTTTTCCGGGTCCAGCACTGTTCCCAACCTGAGGCATTTCTCCTAACTCATTTCCCAGCCCTCAGATGGGATAAAACCAGTGCCCTCATCCCCACGGTGAGGTCTCTCCAGTGCCTCTCACAACTTACTTTTTACAGAGCCCTGCCAAGCAGCTGTCCACCCTTGCTCCCAGGCTAAGAAGGGTCACGGCTGCCGCACTGGCCCGTCTGGGCAACCTGTGGCCACACAGGGCCGTGGTCGTGCCTGGCTTTAGAATATCTATCTATGCCTTTGGTGAGGAGTACTGGTCCACAACAATGTAGCTCTGCATAAGCAAAGTGCTCACTTTGCAAGTGTGTGTGAGTGTGTGTGAGTGTGTGTCTGTGTGTCTGTGTGTGTGTGTCTGTGTGAACCTGGAGTAGGGCTGCCCAAAGCGTCAGTCAGTCAGAGCTGCTGTGGCCACCTCTCTGACAAGCCATTCAATTTGGAGACAGAGGCAAGGTTAGATATTATTTTCAGGAAATCACAACTATAAACAGAAAAGGCATGAGACTAGAATTCGGTTGCATCAATCCTAATTATATTTTGGTTGGGGAGGGAAGGCGTAAGCCAGGGTCTCACTCTGAAGCCCACACAGGCCAAGAACACGATGCCCCTGCCACAGCCTCCCAAGTCCTGGGATAACAGGTATATATTACTGCCAAGGCCCAGCTCCTACTTGGTCAAATGTGTTTGTTGTTGTCGTGAAGAAAATAGTGGGTTTCAGCATACTCTTGGCTACAATTTTGGCCCAGAAAGTTAAACTACCTGCCCATTGCCTGCCAAGAATGGGGACACTGACCTAAACCATGAACTTGTAGTCCAAACCAAGGGATCCGCTGCACAGATAGCACCCACTCTAGATACCATCTGGGTCATAGAGGAAAGGCAGGAAGCCACCAAGGATGAGCCTCTGACTCAAGCTCCCTCATTTAAAGGCCCTGGGTATGACAAAGAGCTCCAAAGGAAGAGGGCATGGGAGCAGTGAGAGATGACCCACCCCGGTCACACAGAGGGCTGGGCTCTATCCTCAGGCCTGGTGACCCAAAACCCACTGCCCGACTGACCCAGCTAATGAGTCCAGTTTTCCACCAACAACAGCCTTGTGGCCTCCAGTAGGAGATGCACCTGTCCTATGTCTGTCAGGAAGCAGCTCTGACCCCAGGGCCACATGGTCTCAGGTCCTGGCTAGGTGACTGTCAGCTGGTCGCCAGGGGACCAGTGTGCTTCTGGGGCCATTCTGCTAAGGGGATGCCACGCAAGGGCCGCCTCCACCCAGCATCCTGGCCCACCAGCCCTTCAAAGCTTTAAGAAAATCAGAAGGCATATTAAGGCTTGGCCCTTGCCCAGGACTCAGGCGGTCCCAGAAGCCCTAACTAAACTGGGTAGGCACTCTGGGATCAAAGACCAGCGATCTCCCATTAACCGGAGCTGGCCATGTCACACAGGGGACCTACACCCAGGCTGTGCCCAGAACACACACATAGACATGCCGGCACAAACTCATGAAACCCACCATGCTCTTTTCACTTACCAAGGCACAGGGTAACAGGGCCAGGGGATGGCTGTCCTCAAGGGTGTCGGACCTGCAGGGCATAGAAGATGAGGACGTGGTCATAAGTGTGGGACACAGGACTTGGGAGATGCAATGCTCCTCGGGGCAGGAAAACTGATAGCCAGTTCCAGGGCACCCCCTAGAGTGGGGGAGGTTGAGCCACTCATCCCATTGCATAGCAGGAGACTAGCAGACAACAGAGACAGCTCTCTTTCTCCCTTGCTGTGCTGTCACTCATTGCAACCTCATTCACTTTTAAGGCCAAAGACCATTCTGCTGGGTGAGTGCTACAGAGCGAATGTCTGTGTCCCCACCCCACCATCACAGTGCAGACAGCAGTGCCCTTGGCAGTGGTTGGGTCTTGAGTGTTGGTGTCCTCATGAGAAGAGAACAAGCCTCAAACTCTCGATCCTCCTGCCTCAGCCTCCCTTGTGCTAGGATTAAAGGTGTGTGCCACCCCGACTGGCCATCTTCCAGTATTTTAAGCTGCCTCTACATTGTCTGTGGTCCATATACTCCTGAGGAAAGTCCATTCCACTGCCAGCTCTGCCCCTTTGTAGTGATGGGAGCTCCTCCCCACATCCCTAGCCAAGCCCCAGGTTGCTGAAGAGCTTTAGCAGCTCATGTGGGAAGCGGCACTGTGGATTCTTTAGAGTACGGTTTGGTGAGGCCCTTGGATTTCAATTTTCACCAAATTTAGAAAAGTTCAAGACCTTACTTTTTCCCACCAAATTAGACCTTTTTGTAGAAATCAATTTCACGTTCTTTTCCACTTGATGTAGTGGCATCGGTATTTTGTTCTTTGCCTTTTTCACTTTTACCAAATATCATGTCTTTGAAAACACTGTTGTCTTCTGCACTGTTTAACTGACCATGGATCCCAGCAAGTAATTTTTTACCTCTAACACATGTGGGTGTATGCATGCACACACACTCCAGAGGACAACCTTAATTATCATCTTAGAAATGCTACCCACCAGGGCCAGAAAGATGGCCAAGTGGTTAAGAGCACTGGTTGCTCTTCCAGGAGACACTAGTTCAATTCCAAGCATCCACATGGCCGCTGACAATCATGTGTTAACTCCAGTTCTGAGGGATCCAACACCCTCTTCTAGCCCCTTAAGGCACATGGTATACAAATATACATTCAGGCAGAACATTCACACACACACACACACACACACACACACACACACACACACACACAAATAAACAAAACAATTGAGGGTAGTGAGCCTTTAATATATTCACCACTTGGGAGGCAGAGGCAGAGGCAGAGGCAGAAGGATCTCTATGAGTTCCAGACCAGTCTGGTCTACAGAGCAAATTCCAGGCCAGCCAAGGCTACATAGTGACACCCTTTCTCAGAAAAAAAAGAAAGGAAGGAAGGAAGGAAGGAAGGAAGGTGAGAAGGAGGGAGGGAGGGAGGGAGGGAGGGAGGGAGGGAGGGAGGGAGGGAGGAAGGGAAGAAAGAAAGAAAGAAAGAAAGAAAGAAAGAAAGAAAGAAAGAAAGAAAGAAAGAAAGAAAGAAGAGGGAAAGGAAAAGAGAGATATTACCATGTTGGGAGTTGGCCCGATGCTTATATTTTGATGCTAATTACCAGCCCTCAAGATCTGGTTACTGCCTGGATACACCTGTCCTTGTTGTGTAAACCTGCCTAAGACATTATTCCTGATTGGTTGATTAAAAGGCCTAAAACCTGGGCAGGGCAGAATGAGGTGGGCATGGCTAAGGTTCCCAGGCTTTGTGTTTAAGAAAATCACTGGAAACAGAGGTACGGGAAGAGAAAAGGCTGGAGAGAAAGCTGGAAGACACCAAGACAGATTAGCACTGAGAAGGAACCACAGGGGCTGGGAGGAAAAACTCCAAGGATGGTGTGGATGGAGAAAACACCAAGATAAAAAAAATATAAGCAAGTATCTTATGAATGGAAGGAGCCCAGATAGGAATGGTTAAGGTGGATGGCATTGGATGGAGGCTGGGAGATGGATGGTGAGGTTATTGAGACAGTATACATGGAATTAATTATCTGCCCGGCCCAAGGTGTTTCAAGGCAATTATAAAATCTAACAGGTATCTGCGTTTTATTTAATTGTGATAGCAGGTTAAATAATACTGCCACATAATTATAGGGCAAATAATATATAGCCTGACACCCACTTTTTTATGGCCAACATTACCAGATAATCTCTCACTGTCATGTGCGCCCATGCACAGAGACCCTGGAGGAATCAATGAGTGACTCATTAAAGAGCATGGCTAAGCTGGGTCTCCCCAGGAAAGCCAGAGTGCCTGACATAAATCAATAAATCAAAGGGTGACAGCCCGATTGGTTAAGTTGGTAACATCTGTTTCCAGGCATGGCTTAAAAAACCCAAATGAGTCCTGACTCATGCCACACATTAGCAAGGCCACTGCGCAAGGATGACAAGCCAGCTTCTGGTGTCCCATCCTGAAAATTACCACTACCATCACCGCCGCCGTCACCATCACGCGTTAAAACCTTTTAAGACACACGAGGAATAGAAGAAAACTTCCTCACCTTGATAAAGACTCTATACACAAAACAAGCCAATCCAGTCTGACAGTGCAAACACAGGCACTCAGGAAGCTACGGCAGGAGGACTGAAATAACCTACAAACAGATCTATAAGTCAGCAAGGTGCTGCATGAACAGCAGGCAACGGACATGCTTATGTCTCTGCAGTTCGCCAAGCTCAATCAGTTGGCCACCACCATTGCAGTAACAAGAGAGCAGGTTCAACAAGACACCCTACAGAAAAGCTCCCGGGAGCTGTGTGTGTGTGTGTGTGTGTGTGTGTGTGTGTGTGTGTGTGTGTGTGCATACGAGGGCATACACGTGCCATCCACCTGCTTTGACATAGGATCTCTCGCTGGCCTGGTGCTCACTGATTAAGTTAGATGGGCTGGCTATTGAGCCAGGGACCCTCCTGTCTCTGCTTTCCCCATGCCTGCCAGTTCTGGGGTCACAAGCATGCACCTCCACACCTGTTTTTCTAAGTGGGTGCTGGAGATAGTCGGGTCCTCATGCTTGTAAGGCTGAGTCACCCTGGCAGCCTCCTCCATTTAGTCTTCTGAGACATAGTCTCAGGTAGCCCAGGCTGGCCTCAAACTTGCTACATAGCTGACACCTCATCATCTTCCTGGCTCAGCCTTCCAAATCCTGGAATTACCGGTTTGAGCCAACATACCTGGCTCTCCAGCTTTCTTACCTGAAAACTCTGTAAAGAGCTGAAGCTACAGTAACACAAACATCTGGGTATGAGTATCTAGCCTAAATTTAGCATTTTGTCAAATGTCTCTGTGTGCGCACACAGGTGTGTGTTCTTTCCTGAGCCCTGGAAGGGCTCCTTTGGGACCCTATGCTACTTGACACCCATGCAACCAGCATGGCTCTCCTGGAAGCGCATTGTTCAGGACTACAGCACAGTGAGCACATGAAGGCTGAAACAGCCTGCCCCTCATACCATTGAACAGCCAGGCTACGCCCAGCCTTCTCCAAATGTCGCACAAACACTTCCAGGCCTGACTTTTGAGTATCTCTAGCGAGGCTCAATCCTGACAACCTGGCTGCTTTGCCAGGCTCCTTCTGTCTGGAGCTGAGACTGGCAGCTGTACAGGGAAGACAAGAACCTCCGGTTCCCGGATCGCGCCGTCTGCTGCAAGTCCTCCCGAGCCACAGCAGGAAGGAGCAAACAAGGCGGCTGTGCCAGCAAAACTCACTCTCAGCATTTTCAGGGAAAGGAAAGCTAACACACAACTGTTACCCCTGACTGGTGATGGAGGGCAAGGAGAGCTGAGAAGGAACAAATTACAAATTAACCAGATATCCCCCACTCAAGGACACACCACAACTCTCCATGCCCCTGCAACCAGCACAAGCCCTCCCAACCTAGTATCCGGACCACCCAGAGCCACTGGGAAAACAGGCTGAGCCAGGAAAAGGTCTGCAAGCAGGGATCCAAGTAAGCTAGGCCTCGGCAGGCCGGGAGCTAGTGGCCACAGCTTGCTGCAATGAGAAGGACATTCTCAGGTTTAGTGTCCTGATATATTTACAGAGTTGGCCACCAGAAGCCTTCTCAGTGACCAGCATTACCCAACCCCTCCCCACCAGATCTCTCTGGGGCATGGGAAATGGGGGGAGGTGTTGCACTGGGGGAGCCAGGCCAGAGGAGCCAAGGGAAAGTACCAGGAGCCAGGGATGGACATGTGACTTGGCCCCAGCTCTGTGGTTGCTTAGAGCTGCCAAACACAGCTGAGTGGAAAACAGGGACCAGCCCATGCCTGCTGGCACGGATCCTGCCGTGGGGTCTAGTTACAAAGAGTGCCTGCTTTTCATCGGGACAGGTGCTAGGACCCCATACCCAGGGTTCAGCCACAGGAAGCCTAGTGGGGGGTCCCGGGGCTGTGGAAGAAGGCAAATGAGCCTGGAGCTCTGGCTAAGACGGCTTACTGCTTGCCTCAGAGGGACTAGACTATGTCTGTCCTTGAGAGGTCAGAGTACACCTCAAAGGTGGGCGTCACAGCTAGGAGAAAACAAGAAACAGCACTGATGTCACAGGCCCACAGTCCAGGCTCATTTCCTGCTTTTTCATGTGTCTGTGCTACGAAGCTCATGTAAAGAAGGAACGTCCCAGCTCAGGGCCAAGCATGGAAAGAGGTGACTTGGCACCTTCCCAGCTGCAGGCAGACATGGCCCAGAGAAAGCGGGCAGGGTGACAGCCTTTATTCTGATCTGAGCACCAGGAGCCCAGGCGTTACCCGAGGACTTTGCTAGTCAGCCACCCTAGGGTCCCAAGAACAGAGCTGGCAGGCAGCTGCCTTCTGTAGTCCATCCGGGTGTGCACACCACCAAATGTAACCTAGGGATCGTGTTCAGCTGCTGGCTCCCACTTCATCAGGGATGTGCACAGAAGGGGCCTCTGCTGTGTAAATAAAGGGACACACTGCTGCCTTCTGAGTGGGCCTCGCCAGACACCAAGTCTTAGCGCTCAGAACCCCATTCCCAC